TATCCAAACGCTATATGTGTGTATGCCTTTATCCGAGTTTTTGTTCTGATACTATTGTTTTTTTTTAAAAACGCAAGAAAAATGGTGTATTTTAACGTGCTCATTATTGAAGATGCGCGATCTGTAGATCCATATATTTTGTTATCCAGACGTAACTATGTTTCAAAAATTCAGATACAGAGCTGTAAGGCTGTCGTAGAAGCCTTTGCTTCGCAATTCCACAGCTGAATTGGCCATGTGTGCACACAGTTCGCAGATATTTTACGCTTAGATGCTAATTTTTTCTTGCGTTGATCTTAAACGCTGTGAGATGCTTGTATGTCTTTTGTGCTTCGCTTCTTACATACCACGCACATGACTTGTATGTATGCTAGTGTGTGTTGCTTGACGATTGAATAAAGCGTGAAATATGTGAAATTTACAAATTTAATAAATGTGACCAAATTGCTACGTTACTCACGTTTTAAGACGCAAGTGGTGCATGATGCACACAGTTTTTTTTAGGCAACAATCTAGGAAGCTTTCATGGATTTCCAGTAGTAATGCTATTAGTACTGCTAGAAAAAGAGAAATTCCCTAATACTAGGTTGTTATACTATTTTTGGCCAGTTTTGAAGTGTTAGAGAATTGTTTACATTCTGCTTTACATGTTCCGATTTTTTTTTGTTTTTCCAATTGCTGTTTGTTCAAAATGTATTTAGAAGACGCATATTTAAGAAGGAATATACATGATGAATTTTAACTGCATAATTTTTACAGTCATATATCGCTTACTGAAGAAACTGTATATTTATTCAGTTTGGCTAAGATCCCCATCCGTGGCACGAAGCGACCCGTCGATGACAAAAAACTTCGCGCTCGAATCTGAAAACTCACATTTTTTTGGAAATTAATTTCTTTCGAAATTAAAGAATCCCCTTCTAGCACTTGTAGGAAACTCCCGTTTAGAAATCAGCCGAAAATGTGAGGCTTCCTGGAGGAAATGTGCTGGAATGGCCATGAGCAGTAATGCTTATTTGGCTTTTTTTTCAACTAGAAATACAGCACTTCGACCTGCCTTTTTAATTTCCCTTTTTTCATATGATTAATTTATTTTTTAAAATTTCATAATCTACTACTGCTCGTTCCAGTTCCAGATCGAACACATCTCCGTCCTCCTCATCATCATCTTCACCATTCCCATTGCCAGTCATTGAAGGATCCAGTGTTATAGCAACCACAATAATACCTGCAAGTGAGCACTAGAATCTTTATTTTACTCCAAAGAATTTGTCCAATAAAAACCGTGCATAAAAGCACGTGTAAAAAGCTTCAAAAAGCTAAAGCTTTTCATTTTAGAGCTTCAAAAACTGAATTTTTAGAGAATGGGATTGGCAGAGATAATGGAAAGGCAAAGAGGTCAACTTTTTACAGACAATTTTTCACGTGCCACATTCTTAGAAAATTTATTTAATTTGGCCTTTTTAATGCTCTTTCCTCTCTTTTTTCTCCGAAAAGTGGTCTACAAAAAATTACTGTATTAAAATGCAACTAATCTTCCAAAAAATTTTTTATGTTTCTGTGCTATAAAAAGAAAATTTGAAATGTGTTTCTTAAAATGAATGGCGGCGTATAAAAAGAGATCAACGCGGTTACGCGTTTTTACAAGATATGTGAATGCAGAAGAAAAACCCAGGAGCTCACCGCGTCATTTCATAATAGACGATGACCTATTTGCCCGCGAGTAGCGTGAAATTTTTCAACGTCAGTTAAAATCGGGGATATGAAACCGCACCATGCAATTTAAGCTGGTGATAAGTCGCTACGCGTGAGAAAGTGTATGCAAATGTAATCGAATAACCGAGATAGCTAACGCAAGTGGAGTAATAAATCACAGAATTCCTGAATATCTTGATCGCTGGAAGAAAAAATTTATAAACCACTGTCTGATTTCTGTTACTATACCTACCGAGTGCACGAATCCTCGCCAGGATCCAGGAAAACATGAAAGTCCTGCATAAGAACGGAGGCAAAAGGCGCAAAATCAACTTTCACGTCTTTTGATAAAGAGTCCTCCACTCTCGAAGTTATTTTTGTGCTTCGCGATCATTCAAAGTTTATTGGTACCCGTAATAATTAAGGCGATGCTGAGCAGTGAAACAACTAGGACAACGACCACATTGAACGTGACATCCATGTTTGCTTCCAGATTCGCTGACGACGGGTCCTCCGACATGAGTAATATGCGAACCGTTTCATCTGTAAGCAAGAAAAAGTCTATGGATAAGGCTAAAAACTTTCACAAAAAACTGTGAATACAATTCCTACCAGAGAAATTTATGTTTTTTTGTAAAGAATATTAGGATTTTAATAAAGCACGGAAAAACGTGACATGAAATTTTTTTTTTCATTTATAAAAGTTGGTGAAAGAGAAAAACTTTGCTGAAAATTAAGTTGAAAAGACATCGCAGTGCCTGAGAACTTTGCCAATGCATGCCATTCCTAGCACAGAACAGTATTTCAGGAAGCCGAAACTGCATGCGCTTTCCTTGTCCCAGCCATTTGGGTAACCCAGTTTTCCTTCCCGTGACAATTGTGTGAGCTAATTTTACTGACAAATGTGGTTGTTTTTCTTCACTAACTGACTCCTGTTCCTCCTCGAATAAATTTTGAGCTATAAAATCAGTGCTGGAGCCATCACTCAGTACGATATATTTTTATTACAGTCTGCCCCCTGACAGCACTTGAGGAATGTTTTTTTGGCTTTTAGCTGGTCCTGAATATCCGAGTCAATGTGTAAAACACATCAATTTTTTTTAATGAGTGATTTTTAATGGAAGAAGTGTCTGCATTGTTGTGGCCGTCATAATCACTCGTCGCAAATTGTCTCTTTAGAAAAACACTGCAGAAATTGTGAGCACCGGTTTTTTTATCGTTAAGTGAATCTTTCCATTAAAAAAACTGGTTTTAACCGACATTCGTCTTGACTTAATGTAGTTCAAAAGATAAAAATTTTATCAAAATTGAATCGAATGTTTTTCATTTTCAAAAATTATGCCACTCATCAAAAGGCACATGCCGCCTTGCACCCTCTTTCTCTCTTTAAATTTACACATATTTTATAAAGTTCTAAGCTAGACCTGTTTTTGAATCATGTTCTGCTCTACCACGTTTGCGTATTTTCGAAAATCCATATCCGGCCAGGAGCAATAGGCAGGCAACAATAATTAGTGCGATACGCACTTGAAGACGCATACATCTGGCAGCATACGGCACTTTTATGTGGCTTTCTCGCTGCACTTGCAAACTGCCCTTTCCCAAACAGGAAATTTACAACAACGATCCGGAAAATACTGCAAGTTTCAATTCAGTCATTGATAATGATAAAAAAAAATTGTGTGGCCCCGCTAAGATCACATCAGTGTAGAGATAGCGTGCCTCATTTCGAAGATGCACTAACATAACAACAATGAGAATCCAGAAATGGAAAGAGATAAAACACACGCGAATCAGATAAAAATCTTTTTGCTCATATCAAAATTTTATTTTCGATATTCATTTCGTAACAACGAAAATAAGTGAAGGCTTTTTGAGCGATTTTTTTTTCTTAAGCAAACAACTGACTAATACGGCACGATATATTTGTTCACCAAACGGAACACATATACATTTATTTATTTATACACATGCGTCAATGTGTTTATGTAGAGAAAAGAAAAAAAGAACAAAAATCACGAATCAGGATTAATGAAATAAATTACAGTAATTTTGAAAGGATAGCCATAGCGTAGTGCAAAATGACAACGCGCAAACAACTCACAATTT